AGTTACAAAAACTGGACACAGATCTTCTCCCGAACGAGTCTTCCTAGAGATTCGTTGCCTCCACTCATTCGTCGGTCAAATCCAAGCAAATGTTACAAAGTGGCCCCTCGAATTCCGCAACAGAATTCCCTTTTTCAATCGATGCAAAGCAAAAATGTACGAACAACACACACTATTCGCGTGCCTCCCGATCAGTAGTATCACCATCACACAGGTATTCCATATTTGTCCGGGGACTTGTGGAGAGTGGTTGACTTCCTGCTCCCTGCGCGCGCGTGAGTGTGTTGGGCCGAGTTGTATACCTATTTATTGTGTGCAGTGTGAAGAGAGGGGTGTCCAGTTGTGTTTGATACTTGCACGAACATGAATACAACTTGACTTGATGTGTTGAATGAAGTTCATAGTCCTGGCGCGTGACGCAAGTGGTAGCCGCGTAAACGAAAATGGTTGAGAAGTTTTACTGTACATGTTGTTGGCTAAGGTTGCAACTGGGACAGCAACTGTCACGTGATTTGCGTGTTTGTGACGTGTGATCTGATGAGTGACCTCCACAAATACTCTCCCCCCTTAGCGAAGGAGAGAAGCAGGTGCTGATGAAATGGTAGGTGATGCTCGTGGTTGTGGGGTAAACAAGATAATATACTAATAATGTACTAATATCTATGTGGACGCGGTCGAATCGACCGTCTGGAGTGGCGAAGTTACCGACGGGTGAATGGATATGACGAATCACTTTTGGACGCTGACAAGCTAGGCAAGTTTTTGCCCATGAACGAATGTCTTTGTTCATATTCGGCCATACATAACGTTGTGAAATGAGCTTGACCGTCGAATGTATACCAGGGTGCGAAACGTTGTGCAGAGCGTCGAAAACCTGGCGGCGCATTGCATGTGGGACTACCGGCCTTGCAGTGGGTGTAGAGAGATCGCAGTCTATGGTACCTGGTGCAACATGTAGAGGTACCGGTCTAACCTGCAATGAAGAGAGCTTATCTTGTGAGAGTACTGTAATGGGTTCGTCTTTTTGTAGTTGAGCTATTCGTTGCAGGTAAATAGTGGGCCTTGAGTGTAGGGCACAAAAGTTACACTCTTCTTTTTATGTGATATCTGTTGCACTGTTTTGCCCCGCTCCCAGTGAAATCCCAGCGATTTAAAACGAGGAGCGCATACAACCTGAATGATGTTCACGATCCGTGCATACATAGAGTGTCCAACGGTTTTAAACTCTCCTTTAAACGTGAATCGAATATTTTGTTCAGAGCCGTCCGAAGATTTATATTCGAAAGTGAAAGTCAATGAAGAATATCAAAAGAAGCGTCTGTCAGAGCTCCTCTTTGTCACCTTTCTTTTCCGACTTATTAATCAAACGTTTACGGAAGACGTGGTTCGTATGACGTTTGCCGCTGTTCTACCTAGTAAGATCCTGGAGACTCGGAGGGTGGACGATAGTTCGCCATTTATTTTAGATCCTGTCCACACACGGAATAAGCTGGATGACTCAGACACTGTCTTCATGCACTTTGTGCCTTCAAAGTGCAAGGTGGTCAAGCTTTGTTATGGTGCAGAATCACTAGGACAATCATCTGCGTAATGTCATCACACGTCGCTAAATTCCTTTCTGTTTTTCTTTCAGTTAGACACTTTTGAAATCGTCGTGATATTAACCACTCGGTCCACAACGCGGCAGCGTATCTAATTGTGATTTATGAAAGTAAAGCCTAGCCGCTTTGCGTTGGATACAAAAGGAGACGAACAAGAGTTTTCAGCAATCTCATGGGTGGTTTATGATGTCCACTTCTAAATAATGGGAACGCCGGGTTAGTAATGCTGAAGTGTGATGAATGGTTTTTTCAACAACCCGTCCACTTTTCTAACTGATGAGTTGACCTCAGTGCATCAAGTAAACTGGCATGATCGTAGGACAGGTGGTCGGTTGCATCGCCGTGCCTTCCATGTTGAGGCAGGTTTAAAATGGAGATACCTCAAGGTGGACAACGTATGGCTGGGAGTCGAAGCATGGGAAAAAGGACAAAGAGCTCCATATCATTTGCAAGGCTCACCAGATCCGTGGTTAGAGGCTCTCCTCGACAAGTCACACAACATGTGCCGCTGTTGTGGGGAGTTTGTTTTTCTTATTCATCATTCAGCGGTTCTGTTTTCACTCTGATTTTTGAAAAAAAATGTTTTATGCACCTCTCTATCCTACAGAACCCGTCACTGGTTCACGATTGCTAAACCGAACTGACAGAATTGACCTGAGTCCATGAAACATCAGATGAAGTTGCTGACCAACAAATCAGACGCGTGGTGTTTCTGATGCAGAAATTTGAGTTACGCGTAGTATTTACTGTTTTGAAAATCAGAAGGAAGAATAAGGCCCCACTGTCTACGGTGCCATGTAAACAAAAGTGAGTAAGTACAAACCTCAGTTGTCCACGTTCGCGACATCAGCAGCTGCGCAAGTCACTGAACAGATAGCCCGGAAAGGTCACAAAAAGCTGTGTCAACGAGACAATGGCTTTTAATGCTATCCCATCCAAGTTTAACCAGTTGGTGTTTTGTGCCATTTGGTTTCCGACAAGGTCCGTCATTTGCCTAGCCAAAATGGCGTCCATCAGTCATAGACAAGATATGTGTCAAGACTGTGTGGTATCTTGGAAGGCCATTTCAGTTAATCCACAACCGTGCTCGATAAAACATGTTAGTTCTTTCAAATGGCACAAAAGCCGTGCAAATTACTGGTAAATTTTCTGACTGGTTCGTCCATGGAAGCGAACAGCCATCATCACGTTTTATCTCAGGCATCCGCAACTTTTGTAAAAGATTAATCGTGTCCTTCCATCCAAGAAAAGTAAATAGACACAATCGGTGCAACAAAGACTATATGGTTGACCGTTTTTTTACCAACCAAATAATGTATAGATATTCTCATTGCATTCAACACAGAGCTAACTCCTCAGAACGATACCGGGCGATTTAGTGACACGTAGAAAATGGCGCATTTAAAAAAAACGAGAAATTGAACTGAATTCAGTTCTCTTGTGAAAACCAAAATCTGTCAAAAGCTTTCCGCTTTGAGTTTAAGTAGAACCTAAGTTTGACGGAGGTTGTGGGGACTGAACGCGAAGAAGAGCAAGTCCGGTAAATGACTATCGAGGAGTTCTCAGCGACCTTATGAGTAGTGTGTTACATCTGAACAATAACAAAAATTGTCCCAGCATGTGGTCTGTTACCGGATGTGTTTGGCCAGAAAGATCTAGACGAACAGATTCGAAAGAATCGGATTACAGCAGAAGACGTTGGTTGGAATATTTAGAGTAGCCAGAACATCCGTATTGATTGGAGCTCGTTTAAATGTTGCAAGATTCATAACGTGTCCCCTTGTCTACGTCTAATTACACCAAAGTAACTGGCAAGTTTTAGTTAAGGTGATTTATTGGCAAACCGAACTGACAGAATTGACCTGAGTCCATGAAACATCAGATGAAGTTGCTGACCAACAAATCAGACGCGTGGTGTTTCTGATGCAGAAATTTGAGTTACGCGTAGTATTTACTGTTTTGAAAATCAGAAGGAAGAATAAAGCCCCACTGTCTACGGTGCCATGTAAACAAAAGTGAGTAAGTACAAACCTCAGTTGTCCACGTTCGCGACATCAGCAGCTGCGCAAGTCACTGAACAGATAGCCCGGAAAGGTCACAAAAAGCTGTGTCAACGAGACAATGGCTTTTAATGCTATCCCATCCAAGTTTAACCAGTTGGTGTTTTGTGCCATTTGGTTTCCGACGAGATCCGTCATTTGCCTAGCCAAAATGGCGTCCGTCGGTCATAGACGAGAACTGTGTCGAGACTGTGTGGTATCTTGGAAGGTCATTTCAGCTAATCCACAACCGTGCTCGATAAAACATGTTAGTTCTTTCAAATGGCACAAAAGCCGTGCAAATTACTGGTAAATTTTCTGACTGGTTCGTCCATGGAAGCGAACAGCCATCATCACGTTTTATCTCAGGCATCCGCAACTTTTGTAAAAGATTAATCGTGTCCTTCCATCCAAGAAAAGTAAATAGACACAATCGGTGCAACAAAGACTATATGGTTGACCGTTTTTTTACCAACCAACTAATGTATAGATATTCTCATTGCATTCAACACAGTGCTACCTTCTCAGAACGATACCGGGCGATTTAGTGACACGTAGAAAATGGCGCATTTAAAAAAAACGGGAAATTGAACTGAATTCAGTTCTCTTGTGAAAACCAAAATCTGTCAAAAGCTATCCGCTTTGAGTTTAAGTAGAACCTAGGTTTGACGGAGGTTGTGGGGACTGAACGCGAAGAAGAGCAAGTCCGGTAAATGACTATCGAGGAGTTCTCAGCGACCTTATGAGTAGTGTGTTACATCTGAACAATAACAAAAATTGTCCCAGCATGTGGTCTGTTACCGGATGTGTTTGGCCAGAAAGATCTAGACGAACAGATTCGAAAGAATCGGATTACAGCAGAAGACGTTGGTTGGAATATTTAGAGTAGCCAGACCATCCGTATTGATTGGAGCTCGTTTAAATGTTGCAAGATTCATAACGTGTCCCCTTGTCTACGTCTAATTACACCAAAGTAACTGGCAAGTTTTAGTTAAGGTGATTTATTGGCGGAACACAATGCGCGTACGCTTACTGAACACTCCTCGACAATTCACGACTCGTTCTGTCCTTCTTAGGGTTCATTAGGTGGGCACGTTTCTCTAGTTTCCATCAAATTTAATCTTGTGCTGTAGGTTTTTTGCGAAACGCAGCGTTTTGTACACTAATTTAGTTTTAGAGGGAGCGCCAGGTGGATATGGTTGAACCTGTTGTTTGGTACACTCGTCACCATAACTGTTTAAAAACTGTTGCTTCGTTCAAGATGGCGTTCAAATGAACACGCTGAACACACAATTTCTCAGTTACTAAGATGCTTGAAATATCGCAGTAAATTTGTTCATGATTTGACACACTAAGTTGAAATAAAGCGTCTTTTTTAATGGTTTAGCTGAGCTCGAAGAAGGGCGAAATCAGTCATGAGGTGTCGAGATTTCTTAGTAAACTTATGAGTAATATGTTCTATCAATAGTATTAACTTGAATATCCTACCAACGAAAACACGAGGCAGCACATGTTCAACTGAAATCGACAATCATAGGCAAGAAACTAAGCAGAATTCAAGTGAGTTAGTTTGACTTATTGTTTACACCCACGGGGCAAAAGCTTCCCCTGACAATCAGCTGCTCTGAGTAGTCACGTGCTTTTCATGAACTTTCTTGTGCAGCTGAATATTATCAGGCCTGCGAAACTTGGATTTAAAAGAGCAAACTACAAAAAACGATTAAAAGCCACCTGGTTACTTAGTCAGGACTCATCAAACGAGTATGCACTGGTCAGTTGCCTCTCTAGTTCACAACTAATGGCGTTTTAGTCACGGTGACTAGCGGTGATGCTACAAAAGGTGAAATCTGGTAGCCAGCTGGATACTGCATCAGCCCTCCGAAATCCGGCTGGTAGGTTTTTGCCAGAATGAAACTCTAAGTGGCTTGAATTTTGGAGTTAATATAACTCTGCCTTGAAGTGATCACGCTCAGTTCGGTCTCACAGAATTGGCAGTCATCGCGTCTCCCAATACGATCCCGTAAAGCGCTAGAAATAAGAAATGAAGTGATCACGCTCAGTTCGGTCTCACAGTAAAGCGCTAGAAATAATAAAAGATGAGAAAAATACTCACAAGGTCTGGTCACGTGAATTCTACTTGGTTAGACTTCGAATTGAAATCATGAGCCTAGCTAGATGGGTTTTTAGAAGCGCTGAGCACTGTTCATTAGGTTCCAAGTTTGCAAAGTGAACAAGTATACCAGCGCTACGCATTCCTTCTTCATCGGGTTTCATTATTGACAAGTATTTTTTGGCGAATTATTGATTACTGATGAGTCTAATTGATCAAACTGAAATGTCAGAAAAGGTGGGTCTAGGAGATTAGATGAGTTATGATCGACAGGTTCACAGTCAAGTCTGATCAATACTCCGGATAATAACTTCTTAACTGGTGAGTAAAATGACATGAATAACTGTCCGTCCATCCTACAACTTTAGATTGAACGCAATAAATATATTCGCATGTAAAAAGTCAGTTCATTTGGTTTGGTGGGTCTGAAACGGATCGGACTTTCTGAGAACGTATTACAGCTTGTCTTACTATCTGTAGGTAACTAATGGTTTGGAATCCGAAAACCGGGAACTGGCACTTTCGTTTCAGAGGGGTTTGGTAAACAATCGGTGGATTTATTGCCGGACAACGTTTCGCTTTTGACACAAAAGCTTCGTCAGGCCAAATGAGTTAGTAAGAAGATTGATTGGGTTTTAAGGCAGTCAGGGAACCAATCCGTGAGATTCCTTATGACTTGATCAGCGCTGGATGTTCAGTCTGATGTTCCTGTTTGTTGATTAGTGGGGATGACCAAGATTTACGATAAATTAGTTGGGGGGATTCGTTTTTATGATGAACCCGGATTTTTTGTCCTTGCTTCTTCAGTCTAGGAGGAAAATTCCTCTTGGGTTCGTTCACAGATTTCGTTCACCTGTGTTCGTCCAAGGGTGCTAGAACAATTTGTTTGGGGATGAAGGTGGGGTGGTTAATGGGATCTAACTGGAATTGGATTTTGTACTTTTAGACTCAGACCTTTTCGCTGGTGACTGCACATCGCCTCGTGTCATCTCGGCTGATCTAAGGCTGCTCTCCACACGCTTGCATGTTCTACCCCCTCTATTCTATTCACGCTGGGATGCTTGGCGATTTCCACCACCTCGGCCACCAGTCGCTATGGTGTGAATCTTGAACCCCGTCTCAGGATGTGCACATTCTCTAAATCTATCCTATGCGCAGTGTCTAGTGCATGCCCTGCCATTGCCGAATCTTTGACTAACGCCTGGTGTTCATCTGCGTTTCTCGGTGATCTGTTAATGGAACGCTTATGATCACCGATTCCGGTGTGCCATTCCCTGGCTGTCTGACCTATATAAACCTTCGTACAGTCGTTATATTTTATTTTGTATACATAGTTCCTAGTCCTATCAACCGATCCTGACGAAGCTTTTGTGTCAAAAGCGAAACGTTGCCCAGCAATAAATCCACCGATTGTTTACCATGAAAGAAACGACGGCTTTCCAATCGGTCCCAAACATTTTCCAATTGATGGGGAACTGACACTGTTCGAAATTGGGTGTTGCTAGATTTAGGCACACGCGTCATTCACGATGAACACCAGCTTTTGGCAGACACCAGAAGCGCACAGACACGCGCAGTAGTTCTACAGTAAGGTACCAACATGCTGGGAACTGACGTAAGTTTGCCGAGAAAGTCAAACTTGTTTTTGTCTGTGGCATCTTGTTTTTCCAATCCATAACGAATTACTAATATTTTGACCGTGGTAACCATACTCAAACTAATTTGGTCGTCGCGCCGTTAGAAAAGATCATCTACGGTTGAAGTTACTCAAGGGAGGACCTGCACCAGTTTGTGGGCACATTCTAACACATTGCTGATAATATGTAGTTTACTCATGAGTAGTAAATCTTAATCGTACGTTGCATATTACATTGAGTAAATGTTAAGGACACGGAACCTGCCTAGACAGAGGTAGATACTTATTCAAACTATTCAACCTTTCGCCAATGGGTAAACGTGGGACATAAGTTCTTCTCTTACGCGAGTTGTTTCCAATGAGGCCCCTGGGATGAAAGTGATTTGATGAACTATTCTGGGAAAAAAGTTTCTTTTCAAAGTATTCGCCCGAGTGACGAATATTTGGGGATCACTGTGGTGAAATGTTCTTGATGGCAAAACCTGGAATTTTACGCTTTCGGTAGACTTTCTTTCACGAGCAGTGCCCAATTCTATTGGGTGCTGACACTGTTTCCAAACACATGTTCACTTCTGTATAGTAATGACACTCAGTCTACTGGCACGCTACTGGAGCTTCATGGGCTGCACATTATAAGGTTATTTACCACGTGACTACCAGTCGAATCGATCACATGCCGAACACGTGACTGGAACGTGTGGAGATTTCAGCCCGCATTATCCGTCGTTGACTCTATGACGTAATCCATACATTCAATTAGTCCAAAAACACCTGGCGATAGTGCCCAAAACAGAATGGCAATTTTTCATGCATTATCTAAAATTGCTCCCTAAACAAGATGTGTATCTCACCGAGAATGCGAATGGATTTAAGCTAGAAATCGCGATCAAAGCGACTGCCGATCCACGTAGACTTCGGACTATTGGTAACCTTAAAGTCACGGTCCTCTAGATTGTGTTCGCAATGTTGACACTTGAATCCTGCGCGTTACATTCTTACGCAGTTATTCTGGTTTTTTAATATCGAACGTGTGAAGGACCATTTGACCTGAATTCCGCGCTATATTAGTGGGAGCTCTCGACGGATTAATTGACCGTTCGACGCAACCTAAAAACGGTTTGGTCATTGATTGGAACGTTGGAGAAACCGATCAAATCACTTAATTTTTCAAGTAAATTAAAATGTTCGTGTATAAAAATATAGGTTTATCTAGCGCAGTAGCGCCGCATACAATGCGTTCAAAATTTGATAACGGATACGGTGACGGGCCCTACTGACAGCTAAACTCGAATATAGTGTCCCCCTGTTTAATGCACACTGCTCAGAACAACTCTGCCAAAATGTGAACAAAATGTAAGGACTTCTCACCTATAAGGTCGACGGAATGACCCCGCAACACGAAAGTACTTCATGATGAATATACTCTGGTTTCAACCAATCCCCCTCACAGAGATGTACCTTGCAACCTTGTGCTAAAGACTGATTCAGACACTTTTTATACTGTTTTTCCTTCTTTTTTTCAGATTAACTGTCGATGGGCTTGCTTGGCTTTTTTACATTGTTGATAGTGTGAAAAAACTAATCCGCATAGTCTAGCACTTCGGTTGCGTAGCTGAGAGAATATCCTCAAACCTGGAGAAGTAAGAAAAAGATCCAAAAAGAACCGCTGGTTGACATTGACATTCCACACCCCGGGTTAACGTGTACTCAAAATATGTCTAAATTTAATATCCGGAAGGTTATCTAACTGTAGATCCTGGAAGGTTTTCGTACAGGTGATGCACGAGACCAATCTACTTTTGTGCGGTATTTGTTACTGTGGTGGAAGCATGTCGCGATTCGCGGCTCAGCGTGATTATTGCCCATACCAGCGTACGAATCTGCCAAAAACGGTGAGTTACTTTGACGGACAGATTAGCCGTACCCTATAGGACCAACCCGTAACCAATGCCGTTGAAAAACGGAAGTCTCTCTGCTGTGATTTGCTTGAATGCGAAGTTGGTTGTACAATCTCGAGGCAATAAACTGTGAGGACCATTTTTCTAACCTTTTCGTATCGGGTATTTTATTTTGTACATCCAGAAAGCAAAAGGTACAACCAAAAGTCGTTGACCAATCAGAACACGGGAGCATGTAACCCGGTATCTTCGCTTGTCATAACCTGACTAATCTTGACAGCACCACATTTCTCTCAGTTCTGATTGGCTGACGTTCCACCAATGGTCGTTTTATTCTACTCTGTTCAGTTTCCTGTTTTGCTGTGAACAGATTGTCTTGTATTTTCTGCGTTCTCCAACAGGAGATTACTTCGTGCCTGGAAATGTGAATAATATATGTGTGATATGCAATGACTGAGGACTCCAGCTTATATTCCGAAGCCTCATTGTCACGTGAATTAGCTTATCGTCAAGTGTGCAGTCGAAATGCAGCGGGGAAAATGGGACCCCGAGGTGCTGTTGTGGGTGGAATCGGGCGGAGGGGTGCAGTTGTGGATGTGGAGGCGTCTGCAAGCACCGACGTTTTAATTCTCAAGGTGTGGGTAGGTATGCGGAACACTGCGGGATCAGTGATGGTGTCCAACACTCAGGATGGAATAATATTATATATATAATATTATTATTGTTTTATTATATCAGTTATAAATACTCAAAGCGCCATCAATAGAATGAAGCCATTTGGGTTCCTTTTAGTTTGGTTTGCTCCTGGTGCGCAAGACTTGAATATTTTGGCCTTATTTAAGTTCTCCAGCATGTAGAATAAACAGTCAATATCATTTGGAGAGTTCTTGCGTTGCAAACAAAAGGCATTCTTCCCACAGAGGGGAACAGGTCACGATCACTTTTGTTTTTCAGATAAATTAACCTAGCACACTGCACATCTGGTCAAAAGGTTTTCGGCAGGTGATTAGCAACCGTTTATCTAGTAGTCTAAAACCGAAAATAAGCATATTTTGTTGAATTCTTCAAGATTTTTCTTTCTTTTTAGACAGCAGCTCATTTTGAAGATCTCATTTTCTCAGTAATACAGTAGTTTATGCTCTTTTTGAGGTGACTGTTCGTTCTCCTCGTTCAATAATAAAATTTGTAAGTGCTATTTCACTGATTGCGCTTCATTGTGAATGTCAAGGAGTTCCACGTTCATCAACGTGTTCTTGAATAATTCATGAAGCATTGCGTGGGTTTACCGAATGCACTTTAAGCGTTTTGATGGGCCTAGGAACAATAAGTTATTTAAAATGGGCCAGATTTACGTAGCAACAGTTGTGGAAAGTTATCTACGAAGTGCTTATCTATTTATCGCTCAGATTTTTCGAGTATTCTGGACTCTTCCACTTGCCTGCAACTCGGAGCTATCCAGTACAAACTTTGTGGTCTTGTGTGATATGTTTTTGAATAGAATGTTGTGTTTATCAGTAAAAGTATCATTAGATCCACTACTAATCTTGCTTGCCACCTTGCACGACTGTTGGACGAATGGTCTCTAAATTTTGAACTTGTTTTAAAGCCACTCGGGTTATTTGAATGCAGCCTGAGGGTTCAAAGATTTTCATTACGGCTCGATCGCCCCCCGGACATGACGAGCCTGATTCCAAATGCGATCCTTTTGGTCAGTAGCCTGGTCTGCTCACTCGATATTTTGTGTTTTAGGTGAAGTGGGCCTTTCCGTTTTGTCTACACAATCGATCGAACTTGACCTACTGGCAGATATGACCTTGAGTGTGTGCTCAGATTGGTTCTCGTGTTGTGGGCCTACACTGGCATATCTGTCTTCGATTAGTAAACAGCAGTCAGTGGCATCACCTCGATGTCACCTCGATTGGTGGTGAGACTTTTGCAATCAAATTGCCCAGCTCAGCGAAGAAGCATTTTATTCAACGAGACGGCAGCCAAATACAGGCTAACCATCAAAGCTGTCTTTTGGAGATCAGTGCCAAACACCCATGCCTAGTTAGCTTTGATGCGCAGCTGTATGTGTTATAATCAAATGAGTCAATCCTCTTCTTCATTTCGCAAAAAGCAAACAAGTGGGCAAATACAGTGACATTACATTTGGTTGAGGCAGATCACCATAAAGGAGATAATGAGCTCGACTTAGTTGAGTCTCCTGTCGCAATCAACTTGCTGTTTAAAAAGGCAGTGCAGTTGTTAAAATTGTGCAATTTGGGTTAACGTAGGTCATAAAATTGGTGAAACCTCAGTAACTACGTCTACCTGATGAGCCTCAACAAAGGCAGAACCGGTAGTGGGCTTTAAAGGTGTTTCAGTACCTTTATGAGTAATGTGTTACCGCCAAAAAAACAACAACTGATTGTGATATCACGTACCAAATGAAACTGGAGTTGGTCTGGCGCAGTGCATTCATTTAAAGAAGGTCAGGCTCTTGTCAAAAGCAAACAGTTGTGCAAATGAGGGTTTTTGTTGATAAACTTTTTATTTTCTACTCTTTTCACTTATCCACTTTGCTGTGATCAGAATGGCCAAGAGCTTCACCGTCAATCTGTCTTGATATCACCTAATATGGAAATCGCAGCTGGTCTTGTTCACATGTGCCTTGGGCTCACATCTTTCTTTGGAACTTAAGCATGAAAAATGTCCGTTCTCTCTATATTTTCTCATGATTCATCTACCCCTGGTTCTTCTTTAACGCCCCTTTCTCTTAACCTGGTCCCTTGTCAGAAAAACCTCTACCTTATGGTTGAATCTCTTGAACACATCTCTGGATGTGATTAAATTTTAGAAACGAATTTGGTCGATTATATCATCACCAAGTAGTTTGTTGCCGGCTCAGCGAAACTCAGTGGAAACGACTGGCCCCCTTGACAACGCCGTCGTTCCAAATTTTATGGTCATTTTCATACATTCCCATTTTGCCTCTTCGTACATTAAAACTACTAATTGCACAACCTCCTTCCTTGCTCAAAGTCTGATGAATCCCATCCTAGTAAGCGATGTTCTCGAAAAATGTTCGCTTATCTGAATTGACTTCATAAATTCCCGTTATCCTTACAAACAGTGAATGCTATCTGCACCAGGTCACTGGATTTGTCAGGTTTTGGTCAAAGATGTAAGCAAACTGTATGCAGACATTAGAGCTCTTGACAGATACTTGGTATTTCCGACCAGAGTTGATTTACTCAATAGAATATGTTTCCAGATATCCTTGGATTGGATTTGCTCCCGTAGCTGATATCCTCTCACACTAGGTAACACCGCTTCTGGAAAATGATGATTTCACCCTATGGGTTTTTCTTCCCCAAAGTCGTGGAAAGCAATCAAACATTTGTACCCATTCTACAATTTTCCGGAACCCATAAGTTCCGTTTTGAATTGATACTGGCTCATCCAATATGTCCCACTCAAAAGGGTGCTGTCCCTTCGGAGAATCACACATGTTTTATTCTTACAGCTCCGAACAAATCGTCAAAATTAGCTAACCACAGATATCACTGTAACAGATCATGAGTGATACTGAAAACCACCGTCGATAACTTTGCTTGTTACTGTCTGAACAGACCTTGTTTTATCCGTCACGCACAAGACTTAAAAACGGGGTTTGTTTCACAAAAGGGCATATTTTTAGCTCGTACAATACATTGTCTTAGCATCACGTGAAATTCATGGCGTACCGGATCGTTTCGTTCTTAACTACCCTTGAGTGTGATGAAAACGCATTTTCACGGATCGATAAATCTCCAAATTCAACATGTCTGTCGTAATGCTGTGACCAATTTGAATAATTCCGATTCTCGAGAAATACACTCATTTGCAAATCAACTTGATTTTTATGAGAGACAACTAAATGTGTTGCACACCGGCCGCCTCATGTTTCAGTTGGTACGATATTCCAGATGTCGCAGTATATTTTCATAAAGGAAACTACTCACAAGGTTGCTGAAAACTCTTCGACAGCCCACGACCGGTTTCGGCCTTCCGCTTGGGGCTCATCACAACCTTGTGAGTAGTTTCCTATACGAAAAAATTACTATTCCCCTTTACTTCTGGAAGATTTTGTCCTGAAATACGAATGTTTACATTTGATGTTAGTCGGCTAAACATAAGGTGTGATTTGTCTTCATAGATAGACCAACTTTAGGCACATTGAAACGGAACACGTGTTGGCATCCCAAGTTTGGACCGCATGATTTGCTTAAAAGTTCACCGGATTTTGTTCTGGCATGGAGCTCTGCTTAGGTAACCGCAGTGCTCAGAACCAAGCCTTGGAGAGTTACGAAGCGGAAACTTGGAAAATTGATCTTTTTCGCGTCCTAAAGTTGCCAGCGCAGCAGCTTCCTTTAGCTGTTTGCTTGTACGGGTTGTCAAATTCTGTTAACCTCGCCCATGCCTTCCAGTTGCAATTACTGTCGCTACCGCACACCAAATCAAAGTAGATCCACTCATTTGTGCAAACTGGTTGTCAGCAAAGATTTTGGTTGTTTTAATAGTTGAACCATGAACCTTTAACACACACGAAAAATTATTAGCAGTCTTTAGCACAGGACATTACAAAAGCAAATTTATTCACCGTTTGCTTTGTTTTACGGAATTTGACTTCAGCTGGTTTGGTGCACCAAGTTTGCTTCCCTTTGACTCGGGTTG